TTTTTTTTTTTTTTTTTTGGTGTTGTTTTAATTTGATTTTTAATTTTGGGGAGGTGATTTTGGCCAAATAATTACTGGTGATTTCCAGGAAGTTTCGGCCATGTTTATTACATGAACTCGTGACATAATTAAAATTTAAAAATACAAATAATATTTAGATGGTGAAATAGCAATTTTAATCATGTTGGTTGGTTTGATCAAGTGACGTTTTTAGTCCTAAAAATTGAACATTTTACTATTTAGTCCTATGATTCTAAAATTAATTAAACGCAATTTCTGTCTTTTGTGACTGAAAATGCAACAAAATTTAAAATTACATGACTTAATTAGTGATAAAAAATGACTGGAATTGCTGATAAAAAATGACTGGAATTGCTGATAAAAAAATGACTAAAATTGTTGATAAAAAATGACTAAAATTAACAATTTTAGTTCTGTAATTTGTTGCAATTCCAGTCCAGCAAAATACTAAATTACAAGATTAAAAGACAAAAATTTAAAATCTTGGGACTAAAAATACTACGACATTAAACCAGCAGCACTAAAAATGCAAATTTTCCAAATTTAAAATATTTCACTTTAGTTTTTAAGGAAACTTCATCAACTTGATAAAAAGCGTGTTTCAAAAGTTGCAACAATCTTGTGAAGAACATAGTACTGTACGTATTTCCCAAGCTATAATATATATATTAAGGTTATGTTTGATAGACCAATAAGTTAACTTATAGTTTATTTGATTAGCTTATAAGTTCCTTGTATTTAAATAAGCTCCGTTTGATAGGACGAGCTTATTTAGTCTATGTTTGGTAAACCAAATAAGCTAGCTTATAGCTTATTTGGTTAGCTTATAAGCTTCTTGTATTCAAATAAGCCCCGTTTGGTAGGACGAACTTATTTAAAAAGCTCGAGCTTATTTGATAAGCTTGTTTAGGTAGCTTTTCAAATAAGCTAGTTGAATTTTTTATTTCAGCTAGCTTATCAGCTAATTTTACCAAACACTTTTATCATTTAAACTAGCTTTTCAGCTATAAGTCATAAGCTATAAGCTATAAGCTAGAAAATTATATATAAGTTATAAGCTAGCTTATCAGCTATCGGCTAGCTTATCAGCTAGTTTTACCAAACATAGCCTTAAAAAGCTCGAGCTTATTTGATAAGCTTCTTTTGGTAGCTTTTCAAATAAACACGTTGAAATTTTTATTTCGCTAACTTATCAGCTAATTTTACCAAACACTTTTATCATATAAGCTAGTTTTTCAGTTATAAGTCATAAGCTATAAGCTCGAAAATTACTAATAAGCTATAAGTTAGCTTATCAGCTATCAGCTAGTTTTACCAAACATAGCCTAAGAAATGGTGATAAGCAAAAGCGTGCTAATAAAATTGTAATAATTAGGTGTTCAAACAAAATTGTAGTACAATTACACAGGTTAATTATATTTTTGTTTTAATTTTTTTTTTTTTTTTTTTGGTTGGGCAGAATATCCCGGAATCCTCGACAGCAAGGCTCCTAAACGTCGTCGTATTAGACGTGCATTCGAACCAGTTAAAATCTCTCCCGAACTCCATCGGTTGCTTGTCGAAGCTCAAGGTTTTGAACGTATCGGGCAACTTTTTGCAGTCACTTCCTAGGACAATTGAAAACTGCAGGTAAATTAATAATTTTTCATTAATTATTTTAATTAATTTTTGCTTATTTATTATGCATGTAAATTAATTAATAATTAATGATCCTTTAGCATATCATTTTTTCCGTACTTATAACTACCAAAAAAATATATTTTAATTAAGAAAAAACCATGGGCCTCAAAAATGTTATTTATATATTGATGAACTTTGCTAGTGTTATTTTTTTTATTTTTTTATTTTTTGGGTGTCAAAAAAATATCTCGGCAATATCTCAATGATTAAAGTGGTTATCACTGGAGACAAAAACTAAGTCAACTTCTCAAATACGTACAATCTATGATCATTTACCTAATCCATAAAATAATTGTCGAGCCAGCTAATTGCACTTATCCTTCTCATTGCTTAAATTATAATCCATTACAACAATTTTTTATTACCAATTTGATTGTTACAAAAACAATCGATATGATCTACAGCTATATTAACGAACGGGAAATGCTACAGTCTCGTTACGGAACTATTCCGTCAAGATTTGTAATTGTTAGATCATTATGTAATCGTTGTGAATACTAGATCTTATGGTCACAAATCCCGACAGAATAATTCCGTAACATGATGTATAATCTCCATTAACAAACACCATAAAAAAGGGTGTAGCACGAATCCATTAAACTTAGATTGTTATTGTTGGATTGTTGGCACAACTCTTCTACTCGGGAACTCTGATTAAAAACTCATAACATAAGTTACATCATTTTTCAAGGAGATAGAATCAAATTAGAGGGGTACACACACACACACTAAATATTATTTATAAATTGTCGACAGTATTTGGTCAAGATTATAAAAATATATCCAGTAATTTGAGGTAGATGCTAAATTTGTTCAATAACCTTTTGCAATTTTAAAAAAGTAAACACTAACCCAATAAAAATCGAGCAAAATAAGCCCAAAAAATGCAATAACTACTTATGCTCGTTAACTCAAGGGCAAAGTTTAATAGATGGTCCACTATGTTGACTATTTTTCGAAAACAGTTCATCATATAAGATGTCATCAAGAATGATCCACTAATTAGTTGTCGCTTTAATAAAAAATTTGTACAATAACCAACATAGTGTACTAAAAGTGATCATTTTTAGTTGTCATTTTAGTACTCCATAGTACGAGTTTTGATTAAACTAGAAATTCTTAGTGGACAATTCTTGATGACGCCTTATATGATGGGCTGTTTATTCTTTATAATGATCAATACAGTGTATTAAAAATGATTTAACCTTATTTCACGTGTTTGAATAGAATGCTCTTATTTAGATTTGATTGGTTAGTGAATATTTTTTAGAATCACTGTCATACACTCCTAGACCAATATAGTATACTAATAATGAAGTTTACAGATCACTTGAGGAGTTGAATGCCAACTTCAACCAGCTGACCAACCTTCCGGCGACCATCGGTTTCGAGCTCGTCAACCTCAAGAAACTCTCGGTCAACTCGAACAAGCTCCCTTTCCTCCCTGACTCCATCTCCCACCTAACCAACCTCCGAACCCTCGACGCCCGTCTCAACTCCCTCCGAGCCCTACCCGACGACCTCGAGAACCTCATCAACCTCCAAACCCTAAACGTAAGCCAGAACTTCCAACACCTCACCTCCCTCCCTTACTCGGTCGGCCTCCTCATCTCCCTCGTCGAGCTGGACGTCAGCTACAACAGAATTACAGTTTTGCCCCCCTCAATCGGCTGCCTCAACAAACTCGAGAAGCTGTGCGTGGAGGGAAACCCGCTCGTCTCCCCGCCGGCAGAGGTCGTCGGGCGCGGGTTGGACGCGGTGAAGGGTTACTTGTGCGACAAGATAAACGGGAGGTTGACAACGAAGAGGAAGTCGTGGTTGGGGAAGTTGACAAAGTGTGGGACGTTTGGTAGCATCGTGAACATGCGGGCAGTGGACGAGAGGGAGGCGTACATTATGCCGAGCTATAGGAGTGTCGACGGGTTGGCTTCGCCTAGGTATGCGGGGATGTTCTCGCCTAAGAGAATTTTCTCGCCAAAGTCGTATTTCTCAAGATGAGATGAGATGAGTTCGTGTTGGGTTTGGAGTACGTAATTCGAATAATTGGCTATCGGGAGGTTCAGAAGAACTTCTTCTTCTTCTTCTTCTTCATTTTTTATTTTTTTTGTTTTGTTTTGTTTATAGGTGTGAGTGAATATGCATGTTGTAAATTTTTGTGTAGTATGATGGTGTTGGTTCTTTTAACTTTTCATCAACATATAAAAAGATTGTGCGATTAATTATGTTTTATTGAATTTCTTTAGTTCATAAGGTAAGCCGGTCTGACAAATAATCAACCCGCAATGAATAGCGAAGCCGGAATGTACGGACGCTTTTCTCTCTAAGAGTACCAATAGCTTTCTTCTCGGCCGTGATTATACTTTTCACCTTATAAAGTTCATGTCGTTGGTATTGTTCAAGTTCACAATATATAACAATGCTTCATAGTATTAAGTAATGACTAAGGTCTTTATGGGCGCAAACTAATACATTCATATACATATACGTATAAGGTCTAGGAATTTTAGTAAGGGGGAGCTCGATTTTTAATCTCAAATAACGAGCTTATAGCTTAAAACGAAACTACTTATTTTATATAAAAATGTATTTACGATAAATATAAATATCGATATGTATGTCATCAAGTTTTTAACAACTTAGACTTCGTCTCACTCTCAAACTTTTTGTTTAAGAAAAAAAATGAGATTTTATATATTTACAATTTAAGTCCAACAAATATAATTTATGAAAAGTTTTTTTTTTTTTTTTTTTAGAAAATTTGATTTAAATTGAAAATTTCAGCTCATTGCATAACATTTTTTTTTTTTTTTATAAGAGCTTATCAAATGAACATTTTTTTTTTAAGAAAACATAAATAAAGTTATAAATATCTGATTATACAAAAAAGAGAGTAAAATTCTACATTCAATAACGTAACAATTCAACTAACTACTCGTTTTATAAATCACAAAATTGATTTACAATTAAGAGATCAAAAGAGTAAATCATTATAAATATTTTTCCAAAACTTTTGAAAATGTAAAATTAATGACTGTTAGTACATTTTTTAAAAAATAACATATAAAATAAATTTTAATTATTAATATATTATAAATGTTTTGTTTGCAATTTTAAACATATTTTATAGAATTTTCTTTGTATATATCAATTTTTGAATTTTCTTTATATATATATATATATATATACATATATATATATTGGATTTAAAAAACATCC